GTTACCTGAATTGTCTCGGGAAATCATATAAAAGCGGAGCCACCCCCTTTCCAACTAACGCACACAAGCTTTCCCAAGATTAGTTTCGTCCTGCGTGGCGTTATTTTTGAACTTGTCTCGTTCCCTTGTATAGAGTCAGGTGATTTGGTCGACTCTCTTCGCTCTTGACTTGGTGTTCCATTGTTGAGGTTTGTTTTTGCTTGCAGGATTCGCAGAACTGTACACTATTTATCCTCTACTATTTTAGCTTAATGGTACCGTACTACCTTGATGGTTGTTATCATTGGGTTTGAAATGCGCGTGACTGTTGGATACAGAGTCTCAGAAGTCAAGAAGGCGAAGCAACTACCTTCTGAAGTTGAGCGACCCCAGACGCCAGCAATAAACAGGCAGAGCAAGGTCTCTTAGACATGTGTGGCGCAATGGATTCTGCAATGTCTGTCTCAGCACGCGTTACTCTAAATCCTCGCGTCCATCGCTTGCTGTCCACCAAAATTCGAACCTTTGGTCAAATTAGAACTAGACTACCGACTGGGCGTGCTGTTTTCTAGAGAACAACCAAAACACTATCGGAATGCCAATCTGTTCCTGGTTACAACGTAGATTAAAATGTGAAGAGAAGACTCTACCATCTTAACGGGCCCGTTATCGGTGACTACTAAATCCCCTTAACTCTTCCGTGAAACGACAAACCCAAACTACTGAAGATACCCACAGCTGGTTACCGCAGGCGAATTATCAGTGTGCTGGGAGCACCCACAATGGACTGCGTAGCTGCGGTAAAATTAAGTAGACATTAAACAGGTGTGGCGAAGACCCAGAATGTTTATGTAAACTAAATCCCTTCAATCTCAGGTGTCTTTGGAGAACGCTAAAGCTGAACTGCTAAGACAGGATACACATCATAGGGATAGGAAGACAGTTCTCGGCACTGACGCTCTGCTGAGGCAACTACAACTGGACTGGAACGGCTACCTCATAATGATGGACAACGAGCAATTATCCAAGAGATTCTTTTATGGCAGTGTCGCAATGGGTACTCATTGAAAAGGAGGACAACAACGAAGCTATGTACAAAGACGCCCTGTAGACCTCTCTTGAAGATTTAAAAATCAATCCGGTGGCCTGCATGGACGTCAGCTAGGATCGACTGGTCTGGAGAGGAGCAGTGAAAACTACAGTGGCAATCTGCAAAGCCAATAGGATC